AATCTTCTTTCATTTTAAAACAAATTTATTCGTTTCTATAATTATTTTTATTTCACATAGTCAAAAAAGCGTATATTACAAACTGGAAGAATATTCTCATTTCTAAGTTCAAAAAAACATATTGGAAATAAGACTATATTCGATAGTGATTGGTCATTGCAAAGTCCAAGTGGTCAAACTTATGAATGGTTTGGAGCAGCTATCAGCGTTCATCATAGGAAACAAACAAACAATCCAATAATAATTGTTGGTGCACCAGGTTATAATAATGAATTAAAAACACAGTGGGCTGGTCGTATTTATGGATTTGAAATAAGAGACGATGATAAAATGAATCCTTTGAAAATATTTGATCTGAGTGGAACCGAAGAGTTTCAAGGGATTGGAAGGTAAAATTAATTAACATTATTATTACTTGATTAGGAAGAATTTTAAGTTCTTATCAGTATATAATTTTGTAGTTCAATAATTGCTGCTGATTTTCTTCAAGATGTTGGTGATTTTTTGATTGTCGCTTCTCAATCCGAGGTAAACCTATTTCTATTCTCAAATATCAAGCATTCAATATTTTCACTTTAAAAAACGCTAATCACATTATATTATTAGACAAGCATCCAGAGATTCCCGATGTATAATAAGCTATGGCAAGCCGGTGCCGTTCGTGTGATAAATATGGAATATCTAAAAGAAGGAACTTTATTATCTGATGACTATATGAGTGTTGGAAATGGATTATTGTCGCTATTGCGAGGAACTGAGAGTGCATCTCATTTTGGAAGTGCGGTATATTGGGATGACATTAACAATTCGCTTTGGATTTCTGAACCATTTGCTTCTTGGGGTATATGTTTTTTTTTGTTTAAGAAAAAATGATATATGCATATTTCAAAAAAAAGAATAGAGTCATATTAAATATGTAATTTATATTTCTCCTGTAGAAGCGGGCCACATATATAACTATCCATTAAAATCTATATTATCTTTTCACGAATACTCAAAAAATTTATCTCAAGATACTTCAAATTATCAAACACCTCAAAAGAACATTCCAAATATTGAAACTTTTAAATTAGCAGACGTATGTATGAAAAGTAGAGAACCAAGAGCAAGATTTGGAAATAAAATTATAAAATTTGATTTTAATGGTGACGGAAAACGAGATTTAGTTATTGCTTCGGAACATAGCAGTCAAAGTATTAGGTATTTATCTAATTTTTTTATACATTATTTGGTTTTATAGAATTTTATAACATGAATTTAATAAATATTATTTTATAACATGAATTTAATAAATATTATTTTCAGGTTAGGAGGAAGTGTTGCTATTTTACTGGAATAAAATGATGCAAGAGGACATATTAAGCTTAATAATTTATTATTATATCATTTACTGCAGTTATTTATTCTTTTGTAATTCAATAGTATTTGTCTTGAACTGAATTTATACAGTATGTAATATCTTTTTACTAGCAAAATACTATTGAATTTAATGCTGTATGTTAAAGAGCATTTTAAGTCATATAGATTCTTAAAATGCTTAAATTTGAATATTTAAAAATTTAAGTCTAATCAGTCTAATCACAAATATAATTTAAAAAAAACTTTATTTATAGTATTATTTATAGATGCTTTTTATCTATTTATTTTATTTATTTATTTTTTTGAATTATATATTTAAATAAAGACGTTCTTAACGCACATCTGATTTAAAGCATCTACGTATCAAAATAGATACTGCACTAAATTTCTTTAGAACTTTTAAAGATGAATCAAATACAGTATAATATAAAGAATATCATTAATAAAATTGATTATTAATTGATATATATAGATACAATATAAGGGATACCATTAATAAAACTGATTACGTATTTAATCAATTGATATTTATTTAATCAATTGATATTTATTATCAGTTATTAAACAATTAAGGGGTAGTTCGCAGCTAAAGGATTGAAATTTCATAGTAAAAATCGGCGGAATCACTTATAGAATTTTAATAGTAGTGGAATGGCCAAAGATTTTCACAGAGAGTACTATGTAAACTTCTTTTTTT